GCAGGCAGCCCGGCGCGGTGAGGCCCGGTAGGCGGGCCCCTCCCACCTTTCGACTGCGATGGTTGGGCGCCCCCGTCCGCGGCTGCGATTGGCCACCCGGAAAAGCGTTTTGCGCCCATTGGCTGAGAGGTGGCCTCCAGCGAGCCGTGCGCAGAGTAGTAGGGAGGGGCGGGGTGAGGGGAGAGCGCGTGGGGCCGTGTGCAAACCGCGTGTGGCGCAGCCAGAAGGGAGCCGGGAGCGGGCGGGCAGAGCCGGAGCGAGCGGGGCCTACTGTCGTCCGGGCGGGCTACTGCCGCAGCGGGGTCGGGAGTCCGCCAGGTAACTGCCGGGACGGCCTCGGCGGCGAGGGGGGCTGCCGGGGCCGAGGGCGGGGAGCGAGGGCAGAGCGCGGAGGGATGATGGCGCTGGCGCACTCCGGCCTAGTGCGCGGGAAAGTGGCGCCGAGCGGCCCGCCCGGGCTCGGGCGCGATTCTCTGGCCCGGGTGCCGGCGCCGGAGGAGGAGGGGGGGGAGGGAGGCGGATGGGGAGCGCTGAGGAGGGGGGAGCGGGGCCCTGCGAGGGCGGGCGGTGGCGGCGGGTGAGTCAGGCGCTGGCGGGTTCCGGGAGGCGCTGAGGGAGCCTGCGCTGCGCTGGGGGAAGGGAGGCCGGGGAGGGGGCGGGCTGTCCCGGTCCGCTCGGTCAGGCAGGGTGCCGGGCGGGAGCGGGTCTCCTGCCCGAGCCCGCGGGCCGGTGGCGGGTGCTCGGCCTCTTGGCCGGCGTCCGGCTGCGGCGGCGACGACGTGTCCTGCCGAGGAGGCCCGCAGCGCGGGGGCGGAGGGCGGTGTGGTAGTCGGGGGTAACGCTTCACGTGGCCGGCCCGGCGGTGTGGGGAGGGGGAACCGCCCGGCCCGGCCTTAATGCGCGGGTTGGGGCGTGTGACTAACTTCTCTGTGGGTGAGCGGCTGCAGCAGGTTTGGGGAGGAGAAGGTCTGGTGAGATCGGGGACTGGGTGGACGGTGGCCGAAATAAAATTGTTTGTTCTTCTCTTTCTTTTCTC